TACGGATACATGTTCTGAGTGTTGCATATCGGTATTGCAAATTAAATAATATAAACTTTAACTTGATGCATGAGGCACAGTGACCAATTAAGAACGTTATATTATATATACATATATACCTATAGCTGCAGAATGGACTATTAGGCCATTGAAACATATTTTATGTATCTATTAAAATTGATTCGTTGGTCAATATTCGTCTTTAAATTTTATATGAAATATAGGCCTTAATTTCCATTACTCGGCGTACTTAAACTGTAAATCTTATAACTGATTCATAGCTCAGAGGACGGGAAGAAGTATTGCTTAATTGTCCTTGTAAACCAAGAGAAGTTTTATCACTCACGTATTCTACATCATTTTCACGCTTTATTTCCGGAGTCTTAGGAAAGTTATTTTGGGGTGGACGGGTGGCGTGAGAAACAACATAATTTATTTTAATTACACGTCAGAGAAATATGATATCTGTCAAAATTGTATTCCCGTGTGTTTCCCGTATATTCGTCATTCATTTTGAAAATGTATATTCAGCCAATCAGAAGATGGAGAGCTCATAGATAATGAGCAATTTATTCTTAGATTGGCTGTAGTGTGTCATGGCACTAAGCAAAGATATTACATCAAAACACGGGGAGATTCTTTTAAATTAAACCAATGATAGGCCTATCACATTATTAGAGGCCTACCAGTACCGTATATCAAGAGAAATTATTAATAAAAATATGAATTATTTATTTTATGAGTATAAAACTGAGAAATATGGCAGCAAGAAAGAATATGTAATTGAAAGTGCAATATCAAAATACTTTTTAAATATCTTACATTATGCACTGTGTAGGCCTATTATAAATAAAACAAGAATCTTAAAACAAAGAAATATTTTATTTTATGAGTATACAACAGGGAAATATGGCAGCAAGAAAGAATATTTAATTGCAAGTGCAATATCAAAATACTACTGTAATATTCATATTATTTAAATATCTTACATTATGCAATGTGTAGGCCTATTATAAATAAAACAAGAATCTTAAAACAAAGACCTTAAGTAATTAAATAGAAAACATAGATTAATATATATAGGCCTATATACACTTTATTTATAAGAACCAGTATCATTTTGCCCAGGCTCCGTATTCGCATTTCTGGCGATTTCAGGCTCAAAATGTTCTCATTTTGTTCTTATTTTTACACACTTTTCAAACATACAAAATCATCATTGTACAGCAGTATATACTGTACTAGGCTATAGAATTTATTTCATAGTTAAGTGTATCATGTGTGTAGGCCTGTGTGTGCATGTTACAATTGTAGGAATAATATATGTCCATTCGTTTATATTTTTTATAGGCCCTATAGGCCCATATTACATGTAACTATTGTTGGCACCATAGACCATAGAGATCTGAGAATAGATAAAGGTAAGCCGCCTATGAGTTGTGAGCAACTTTTCATGTTGGTAATAGTCGAAGTCATTTAATTATGATTGGGTACCGGTAATATGGCGGACTTCATCAACTAAGTTTTAATGCTATCCGGAACACTGCAATGAATAAGGAAAGGAAAAGTAGATGTAATAACCCACCAACCCATTTACGATGATCTGGGTTTTTAACCATTTTTAAAAGTATGCGTAATAAAATCTTATTAATTTTACAAAAAAAAAAAAAAAAACTAAAAGCACCATGGTCATTATTTCTCCAGCCTTGACCAATCACATCGACGGGATGTTAGTACTTGAGATCGCTTAGCGTATTAATCCGCTTATAAGCAAGAACATAACAACCTGGCTTAGTCTATACACTCTTTAGCTTTGAGGTGGATTTTTTGCGCAAACGCCTCGCGGGTCATCATCCGATACGAGCGTCATCCGAAGTGATATCGAGTGAATCATACAAAATAAACTACAACCATGGTCGCGGGTATTATCTACCGGATTATCAATAAAATTGAACGTTTATCAAGTATAATTATGACTAACTTGCAGCGTCCTAATTGAGATGTGTATTAACAAGTTTTCACTAGTTGTAGATTACTTTGACGATGTGCGTCTTGATGTCGCGCGAGGCACGGATAGGGCGATATTTTGATGACAGACTGCCAAACCATTAGAATGACATTCAGCCCCACTTGGTATTACCGGTCATCGTATTCTTCTTAGGACTAGCAGCGAGTCTCGTGGAACGGCCACTGGCATTTTAGTGAGCTTGTGGAACCTCCTCCCCCTTTTTTTTACACGCAACCCTCACGTTTTTGCATCACTAATCAAAAGCGTGCACTAGAATTTGCATTGATTACAGTTATGGTGAAATTTAATGATTTAGTTTGAATTACCCTTATTATTAATAATAATATTAAATTTATCGATAAGCATATCACGACAATTCTCACGTTTCTAATGAAGTTGCCACATTTTCCCCTAAGGTCACGGGAAGGGCGACAAAATGTCAAGGTGTTCTCTATGGTATTTTTTTACTATGATTTTGATTTGATTAATTTTTATTGTTCCGGTGGCCAGAGACTCGACGCCCTCCCAACTAAAAACAAACACGTAAAGATAAATCTTGTCCTGGACTCGATAATTCCTGTCTAATTGCAGGAGTTGATCCAAACATTCACGGTCACTGTGGGGCTGTCTGATAATCAATGGATTTTATCACTGTAATGTGTCAGGATTTGGTGACTCACTTGGTCGATACGTCATCTACAGGTAATGTCAAAGTGACGTCATAAAAAATCTGTTATAGCGCAATAAGACTGCTGAGATATAGTCCTATAGAGTGCGTTATATATCAAAGAGGTGAAAAAAGTACAGTACTTATTTATTATTCTACTTATTCAAAGTTTCTGAACATAGAGGACGCATGTTCAATGCATGTACGTTGCTAATCACTAAAGTTTGTCTTTAAAGTGGCTCCTTTCAGACTTGTTTTCTCGGCCCTAATCCCAACCTCAGACTGATAATAGTCTCTGATCATAATCGTGCTGCATCGTCACAATCAAGCTTTCTACAGCACTGGACGGAGGTAAAATGCTGATCGATAGCCTGAAGTCAAATTAAGTGTTCTGCGCATGCGACGACGTTGAGTTTTCGTACGCGGACATTCTGCGATTTGGCATCCGAACCGAATCTTTAATTGTTGTGCGGAGAACGCGAACGGTCAATGAGAAGTGAATCCCTCATAGGGTCTCGTCGTCTTGCATGCAATAGAAAACTAAATAAATAAATAACATATCAATAAACAAATAAGATAGTGAAGTGCGTAATTTTAATTTATTAACTACTAGGCCTATTACAATACGCTCAATAACAATTTACATCCACTTTTTAACATGTTTTGTCGCACATAGACTAGCTGCTAAAGTTCAACTTTGACATCGCCGTCGTTCACGTAGTCATCACGGTGTTAAATTGTATCGACTTTCACGGGGATTGCGTAGCCTACACGTACATCGCACACACCGAAGTGAGCAGGCGCAATCCAAAGCGATATTATTCCGCTGAATTAAGCGATCTAATTGAATTCCAGGAGCCGGCCCACGAGTATTCATCGGGAAGTCGATTCTTAGGAGAAAATGTTGGAAATTGTGTAGAAAATCTCAGAGCCGGAAACAAGATGAAGGATGTCAACTTTAGAAACATCAGGTGAACATAATCTAATAATAAGTGGTGCACAGAAAAAAAGATTCTTCCGCCCTAATGGGTTCTCGTGGGATAAACAGTGTAGCTTCATCTAATAGACACTAACACTAAAACAGCGAGCAGTAGTGACTCACTTAATCTGCGTACTGGAACATGCTATGACGCGTAAGTACTCAAGTCCCAAAGTTATCTAATAGCAGTGAGATGCGTGGCAGAACGCGTGCGCACACGTATGTACATTTGAGTCACTTTGACAGTAAAACTCATTTTATGATCAAGTTTCGTCTAAATGAACGGTTATCAGTAATATACCACCTTAGTACAATTTAATTACCGTATATAACATTATCGCTAATATAACATTTGTTGCTTTAAAGGTTGAGACTGATACAATTTAATTATCACGCTTTATCTACATGGTATACTTAGAGTTAGAACTATATTATATACATATTCAACACTGTTTGAAACGTCTTTCATACATATACAAGTAATTGTTTAGATTCTAAACATGCATGAATACGTTAAAAGAAATTGAAATAAAATTATCGGTTTTTAATTTGTACATTATACTATATTAAATATATATACTGTACGGTAATGTATATATATAATATATATATAATATTTTGATAACCTCCTATATTCATACAGTACAAGCGCCTCCTCTTTGACCGATGCCGATTCTAATATCGAACATCTTCTACAAATTGACTATATTATTAGTTTTCTGGAGCAATCTATCCCATGGTAATTGTTAAAAATGAAAGAAATAAGAATTTGATAGCAACGAGACCCTGTTATAAATCAAACAAAGTAAATGTGATTTGTTCGTGCGATTGGCAGAGCACTCTCATCTTCACCTACCCTTGGGAACAACTTACTGCTTTTCATTTCAAAAAATGCTTTGTCATGTACCAGCCTAATGTTGTCAATATGCGCTATTACAGCCCTTCGCTAGTTTTTCGTCTGCAAGGCCATGGAACTCCGTGGAAAATCTATGCATTTGACTGGAAGGGCTTCGACTTATATTTATACTTTAAGGCGACTTTCCCACGATCGGTCGGTCCACATGTAAACAATTCATTCATGTAGAAAAGGAGGTATTCACCTTGCAACAAACTATCAACCGGCATATAGATTGATTCTTACTAGAGCAGTTTAGACACAATGATTGGCGGACGCGCAAGGCTAGTAGCATTGCTTGCGTTTGCTAGATTACTCTAGTGTGAACCCATACTAAATCTCCTTAAGCTCTGTCCACACTCAAATTTTATGTGACAAATTTGTGTGATGTGTCTACACATGGGCATGAAGAGGCAAACTTTTATGAGAAAAGACTAAAATAGACATAACAGAAGTTTTGAATATCATGTTTATTATCATAAACAATAAATACAAGCATTTAATACAGTCAATAGTCAAAGTTCAGAAACATTTTGGAAAGTTCAAACATTCAATGTCATACTTTTAGTACTAAAACATAATATTCTTTTCGTGTTATGTTACATTTTTTCGTGATGCATGTTCACATTTCAATAATTATTGTAAAATTATTAAATTCTCAAAAAAATTGTGATTCATATTATTGTTTACAGTTATATTACTATTTGTCCCCATTACTGTACTTATTATTATTCCTATCACTTGGAGTTTTTCTGTATCTACTACTTTTTTTGCCTTTCCAATTATTTGTCTCCTTAAAATCTTGATGCTCATTTGTGTACCCATCATTCCCATGTTTGTACCTAAAATCGTTACCCTGTTTCTTATTTTCACATGGTTTACACTTGTAAGTTTTTCTTCTAGCACCTTGTTCTACAAATTGATTATCAACGTCCTGAGCAGTGTGACTACCATTGGCTTGGGCAGTCTGACCACCATTGTCCTGGGCAGTGTTGCTTTCATTGATCTGGGCAGTGTTACCATCATTTGCTTGACCAGTGTGGCCATTATTGTCCTGGGCAGTGTGATCATTATTGGTCTGGACAGTGTGACCATCATTGTCCCAGGCAGGTTGGCCATCATTGTACTGGGCAGTATGATCACCATTGATCTGGGCAGTGTGACCATCATTGGCTCGGGCAGTATGGCCATCGATGGCTTGGGCAGTGTGACCTTCATTGGATTTGGCAGTGTCACCTTCATTGGCCTTGGCAATGTGACCACCATTGATCTGGGCAGTATGACCAGAAAAAACCTTCTCAAAAGAATGTCCACTCTTCACATGCAATATGCTGTCCTTTGAAGGATACTTTTGTCCACAATTATTGGCTTGTTGTTGCTGATGTTGAGATCTACCTCTTCTGTTATTCTTCTTCCTGATTTCACTATTTTGCTGCATGTGCCTTCCCTTTTTAAGTTTAATAAATTGCTTTTGGTTCTTGTATTCTGCACTGACACTTTCTTGGCGAATTTGATCACAAGGTACAAGTGGTCTGTGCCTGATTTCATCACTGTCGTAACTAAAGGAGGCAAAAGGTTGTCTGGCTCCAAGAGGTATTGGTAACAGTGGAGAGGGAGCCTCTCTGGCACCAGTTGGTGTTGGTAGCAGTGGGGAAGGAGCCTCTCTGGCACCAAGTGGTGTTGGTAGTAATGGTGCAGGAGGTTCTCTGGCACAAAGTGGCATTGGTAGCAGTGGTGCAGAAGGTGCTCTGGCATCAAGTGGTGTTGGTAGTAGTGGTGGAGGAGGTTCTCTGCCACCAAATGGTGTTGGTGGCAGTGCCTCCCTTCCAAAATCATCAACGGTTTCACACTGCCAGTCTTGTTCTGGATCTTGCCACTCAGGTAAATAAGTGTTTTCATCTACCGTATCTAAAATCAAAGACATTGATAGCTTATCAACTAAAGAAAATACTGCACTTGTAAAAGCAAACTCTTACTGTGTTGTCTGCAACTGTCAACAGCGAATCTGTCCACACTCTGTGTTATTGTTTTTCAAAAGCAAGAGTCAATCTTCTGATTGTCTGAGCAGATCATTGCTGAAAACAATTGCTGATCAAACAATTGCTGATCATTGCTGAAAACAATCAGTTGAGCCCACCTTGTGACATTCTTCATAGAACTGCATTGGTCCATCATCGGCAACACTGTGTGAATCTACCTTAAAACAACATATTTACGTCTTAGTACTACGAACTAGGAAAAGTGAGCTTGGCACCTTGGAAGCTGTGGCAGCAACTGCTCTCTCTAACTTATAGCACCAATATTAAGTGAGCTTGGCACCTTGGAAGCTGTGGCAGCAACTGCTCTCTCTAACTTATAGCACCAATATTAATAATATCAGTCCCTTACTTATGTGCTTCAAATTCAGATTCAATTTCGTTTGTCCAATATGGAAATGACCTCAGTCATTGGAATAAATCTATAAAATACATACTCACTGAATAATACATACTCACTGAATAATATTTTATAATGTTAATAATATTAATAATATTGTCGCTCACATCACGAACTAACACAATCGAAGTAGATTGTGTTAGTTCGTGAAATCACAGTAGCGCGTCAAAACGAGCGCGTATTGGTTGTCAAGCAATTTTGTATTCTTTAGATCCTGTCTCTTATACACATCTTATTCTTTACCACACAAAAAGTCCTTAACGACAACAGCGCGTATTTTGACGCGCTTTTTTGATTTCACGAACTAACACAATCTACTTTGATTGTGTTAGTTCGTGATGTGAGCGACGATATGTTGATAATATTTTAAAATGTTGCACCTAGAAATCAGTAGATTGGCTTCAACATATAATGTATCCACATACACCTTTCAAGTATCCACTTTTTAGTGGAAGAAGACAATGTAAAGAAAGTGCTTTGCTAAATTATCATAAACTGAGAGAAGAGAACACTTTTCAAACTGTAGTATTGGTGGACTTTTCTACATTGATTTTCACAGGCATCAGGCCTACTTCATCACAGCTAGGTATGTAGCACACATAAAAATTGACACAAAAAATAAAATACACAAGTTAATAGGAAGAAACTTACATATTCTTTCTGCCGATAAATCAATACTGTTCCAGAATTCTGGTGGCAGATTCCAACACTTCTGGTCTCCACACGTCATAGCAGAAGAGCTCAACTGCAGCTGGAATTTGGTAAAGCTCTCCATGATATCTTTTAAGCCCTCAGCCTGGCTAGCTTCTGTAGCATCATCAAAGTTAAAACCAGAACCACCCAAAGGAAAGATTGGGGGAAGAACATTGGCAACATGGCGACTGAACTTCCGTCCACGGGCGTTAGTTTGACATGTCCACTCCTGTGGTTGCATATTCTCCTTTAACTTCACAGCATACTGAAAGAGTGTTTAATCTAGTGTTTAGTCTAATACAGTAGTCTTTAGTCTAGTATAGTATTTCTACTCAAGTCCTGTATTGTTTATTGTTAAGTCGAATGTTAAGTCCAGTGTTTAGACTTACATTTAATCCAGTACTGTACATATTTTGTACATAGTTAATCTAGTATTTAATTTAGTCTTGCATTTAGTCAAGTGATTTAAGTGTTTCATCTGGTATTAGTCTAGTGTTAAGCCTATAACAGTTTAGTCTATTATGGTTTTCATTTATAGACAGTTTAATAGAATACTTATGGATGGAAGATAAAGTGAGTAATGATTCTAATTCAGGGTTCAGACTTCAAATCCCAGGAACAGCTAAACTGTTTAATTTATTATTACATCATTAATTTCTATGTTAAATTTAATTCAGTTACAAGTCAGGGGGTTATACATCTTTAGAACAAATTTAAGTACCTCTTTGGTACCAACTTGGTGAATTCCTTTGCTATAAAAATGTGTCATCAGCTTTGATGCAGTTACCCCCTTCATGCTGAGGTCAACCAGTTCCTGTCTGAAATGATGGGGCTCAGTGCATTCCCTGTATAGTGCTTTCAGGCTGTCCAAGTCTAAACCATTTCGTACAAGCAACCTGATTGTAAATTTCCTCTGAGCACCGGAGATGGAAGCTGGTAAATTTTCTGAGAAAACAAATACAGTTATTGTATGATGGATTTATTGCCACTGTAGATTCTTCTCTTCTTCCAGTAAACTGCACAAGCTAAATCCTGAGCACTATGACAGTTGGTGTCTATGTATGTTGGGAGGCTATGTGATTGTGATTGTATTGATGTTGATAGTGTATTTTGTGTTGAAAACAAATCTGAGCTGAACTATCCTAAGTAGTGATTTAAAAAAAACAAACCCAAAACCTAATCCTTAAACTAAGCATGACTGGCTTTCATCTCCAAAAAACTTACCACCCCCTTCATCTCCAAAAAACTCACCACCCCCCCACCCACACCCACCCTTTGACAGCTATAAGACCGATATTCAAAAAGAAAAAAACTTGAAGAATATAAAGCCTATTACATTGATTTACCTTCCAATTCTCTTTTTATTTTATTTGCATACTTCTTATACTCAAAGTACTCAATCCTGGAGAAGAAACAAATAATATTGACATAATAAAAAAAGAATAGAAATAAAATCTAATTTTTTAATGAAAAATGTTAGCTATACTTCTTTTTAAAGCCAGGCTCTGGAGGAAAGAATTTTTTTTATATGTTGTACAACAGACACAAAAAGGGGTTTTGAAGAAAAAATACTAGGACACATAATGATATACAGATTTTTGAACATTTAAAAACTGGGAGAGAAAGGGAGTAACCAATATTTTTTCCATCTTTTTCTTTCCGTTTTTAAATATTCAAAAATCTGCATGTCATTTCCAAGTTTTTGTGTCTCAGAAAAATCAGTTGTACACCATATCAGAAAATGTTCTTCTTCAGGAGCCTAGCTTAAAATGTTTAGGTTTAGTGTGTGTTGAACAAAAAGTGATTATTATTTGTAGCAGCTTACCATTCTGCGGTAGTGTATATTGGAATATCCTGCAGGAAACCAAACAGAGGTGTCTGGGAAAACAATCTCAGTGTCTCCTCTGCATCATTTTGGGCACGATGGAATGCTAGAATATAAATACTATAAGATTTTACTGATATAAAATTTGACGAACCAAAATACATAAAGTTGTATGTTTATTAGAACATGGTAGGGATGGTGCCTGGCCTGGGCCTAGTTGTCGGGTAAACCTGGCTAAGCCTAGTTGTCACAATAAAATCAATCGGTCGGATTTGGCCAGACATTGCCATTTTTCAGGTATTTACTGTAGATGTGACATTACCTGAATTTTTCTGTCTCAGCTCTAATCATGGAGGCACTTTGAAAGCACTTAAACATGTTAAATGGTAAGTGATGCAATCAAGATTAACGATTTAATCATCTCTTCCAAAAGATGGTGTTTATAGGGACAATTATGTCAACCCTCCAGCTGAAACTCAAGAAGAACAGCAATGGAATTGGACCAGTGACCTGGTATCCACATGGTTTAGTGAATGTACAGCTGCTTTCAGGTGATTAGCAAACATATTGAACCTGCATTTTTAGTATATAAAATAAGCATGTCTAATACCACAGATATCACCTAATGTCAAGTTTTTATATTTGAAACAAAGTGTCTTAGCTCTATTTAAATTTTTCAGGAGAATCTTTTTTTATAACGAGATATCATCCATTGCAAAATAAGATTACAAATCCAAGTATTTATCCATACCTTTATCATTATGAGGTCCGAACCATTGCTGTATCAAATTATTTATACCCAGCGATCCACAATTGACCAACAGAGGATGCTTTGCTGTTTGATACTATACATGTGAAGGCAGAGAAAAAAAAATATTTATAAACTGTTTTTAACTCTTCTACAGTCTCTACATTTAAAGTCATCATTAGTTCTTAAATAATTGAAGGCATATTCCACACCATCAGACTGCAGCTACCTATACAGTACAATGTAGTACTACTCTAATACCAGGAGAAATTAATTACTATTTTCTATGTTGTATATAAAAGTATATACAACATTAATAAGGAGATATAAAAAACACCAGCTTTCTTGATGAATGCAAGCATTTACCTATGCACTGTGCCTTGTTAGGGATTAGAGGATGATTAGTATGATGATGACGTATCGAGAATTCCTACAAATTTTATAACTACTGTATTTGTATGTGTCTACCTGAGTTGTGAAATCTCCTAGACAAAACTACATAGACAAAAGACAATTTTAAATAACATAACTGCGGACTGTACCATTTCAAGATAAGGGAATGTATCTGCAAAATGCAGGTTTAGTTCCTCAAGTCTTTGGAAGGATATCCCTGTTCTTTCCAGTTGACTAAACAACAACAGATAGTCAAATCCTTCTCCACCATGACAAAGTAAAACTGTAAAGAAACAAATTAAAAAATAGTATACTCTTTAAAAAGTGATAGATCATCATATGCCCATGTGAAAATAGCATATTAATGTACATCACGATGCTTAAAGTTTTAAGGGGATGAAAACTACAATAACACATTACAATTACAAATGGCATCAGAATAAAAATTTTAAAAAAAAAGCAATCTTGTACACTGTACCTGGAAAAAGGGAAAGATTCATGTACTGAGAAGCCGTAGATACTGACTTCTTTATCCAATCCAACAGCTTATTCATAACCACCTTGAAAGTTGGTTGGTTCTTTAGTAGTTTTTTACTAAATCCATGCTGCTTTGCTGCAGGCAAAATCCATAGCGAGTTAATTCATCAAATTGTTATCATCATTAATATCATCATTATCAACAACAGCATCTTTGCCTACAGTGATCATTTAGACCTGCGTTCCGCAACCTTTTTAGCCCGCGACCCAAATCCGAGTACTTAACACTCAGCCGCGACACACTAACCTCAGATCAAATTATCCTGAAAATCTCGACCAAAGTAATAAATATAATGTTATTTTTTAGTCAGGTTTTCCTGATTTTAGTCACTAACTTGAGTTTATTATTTCCTTACATTATTTAATTTAAGTAATTTTGTCTTAATAAAATAATAATGAAATATTTATGTCAATTAAAAGTAAAAAGTATGACAATATATACCTAGTTTTGTAATGACTCTAGTAAATTGTGTGGACAAAAGCTATAAAATAAATTTTAGATAAGTTAGTCTTAAATGTGCTGTTGTCATTTGTAACATATTTCTGTGATGTAATTTTGCTTTTGCGAGGACATAACATCTACATTTCAACCACGTGTGGGAGATAGCTGCATTCACGCCATCACTTAATTTAATTTTATACAAGTGTTTAAAAACATATTCACACAGATAAATAACACTAACACACCAAATATTGTTTATTAAAAACTTTATTTGAAAAGAACAATAAATCGATATTCATCGGAACACAACCTTTCTCATGATGATATATTCATATACTGTATAAGCTTGTTATTGCGATGGTTGACTTTGCTTCTTGGTAGAAAGTTCATCAATTCTGCTTCTGAGAAGTGATAATGCAATCCTCAAGTTGGCACACAAGGCTACTCTTTGCAGTCTGTTCTGATATTTTGACTTGAGATATTTAACAATTGAAAACCCAGCTTCACACATCCACATTGTCATAGTCATTTCCAACTTTTATCCAAAACTTCACCAATTACTCTTGTTTGAAGTCATTGGCAAGTGTCCCATCTGATATTATATAAATCAATTGCTCTGTCAGGATGTTTGGTAAGTTGCACTGCTCAATTTGCACTGCATACAGGTTTCGGATCCACTTATTCTCCTCTCTTGGATCAAATGGAAAGTAATGGTCAAATCTTTCACGAAGATTAGTCATATGCTCCACGACGACGTCCTTGATGTTTGTAGCATCAATATCTCTATCATCATCAGTTTATTGAGGATATCAAACATATCAAGTTGATTGTTGAGTACCCTACTCTTCCATAGCTCCAATTTAGTTTTAAAACCTGCAATCTTGTCATACCTGTACATAACAAAGACATTTTTTGATTCTTTATTGGTCTTTCCCTGGAATGTATGTTGAGTTCATTCAACAGGGTGAAGATATCAGCAATATAAGCCAAGGTGGCGATGACTATGTTGTCTCTGTAATGAATCGCTAAATCAGAATTTGCCTCTTCCAAGAACACTAAGACCTCATCACGAAGTTCATACAACCTTTCCAATGCAGCCCCTCTTGAAAGCCACCGGACAGTAGCAAAATACAATAATGTTGTATGCTTCACCTCTTGCTCTTTCAATATGTCCTCAAACAATCTTGAATTTAATGCACTTTTTCGGAGATAGTTTTCACCGTGACATCCATCACTTCTGACAGCCTCGTCGACATGTCTTTTGCTGCTAATGCCTCACGATGGGAGAAGCAATGGGTCCAACTAGTCTGGGGTGCCACTTCTTGAGTTTCACAACTCCACTGCACCGACCAGTCATATATGCTGCACCATCAGTGCAAACACCAACACAGTCTTTCCATTTGAGGACATGTGATGTGATGTATTTGTTCAGAATGGCAAATATTTCTGTGGCCGTTGTTCTGGTTGGTAACTCATCACATGCAAGTAGGTCTTCCATAAAGTCATCATTATTTTTGCAGTTGTAGCAAATGAAGATCAAAATAAGCGACTTTTTTATTATGTACGTTGACTCGTCTAACTGGATCACATACTTGCTCGACTCTAAGTTGGTGTACAGTTGTTTTTCAATATCCTCACCCATATCAATAATTCGCCTGTGAATGGTGTCGGCGGAAATAGGGATGGTACTAATTTTTGAAGCTGCTGCTTTGCCAAGTACTTCCATACACATCGCTTTTGCGCACGGGAAGATAAGTGTTTCTGAAAGATAAATAATAAATACTTTTTTATAAACAGCACCTGCGATAAGTCATGGTCTGAAATTCTGATACTAAATTACACGATACATGTATGAGAAATAGTCCTACAGGTCTAATAAAGTAGAAGTAAAACAGAATCGTTACCTGCAATTGTGTAAGGTTTTCGATTCTTTTGCGATCTTTTCCGCCACTAGGTAGCTAGCTTTAGTTAATCTTTTTGCTGGAAAAACTGCTGACGCGATCACTGATTTGCTCTTTTCCATTCCTCTTTCTTTCCTTTTGAAAAACTCCTTTGATTTTCTGACATAGTTACCATGTTTCTTCTCGAGGTGAAGGTTTAACTTGTGAGGTTTCAAAGACTCAGTGGCCAACACTTCACCACATATAATACATTGTGGTCGATGTATATAACCTTTATCCACATTTAATGAAAAACCATATTCTATAAACGAATGATTGTATTTTCTTTTAGCAGCATTCTTACTCCCTGAAGTCAATCAGTAGAGTGAAGAACGACAAAATTGGCTTATCAGAACAGGAATTTATTGCACGGTAAATGTCAAGCCAACAAACTACTCTGTAACGCTCACATGCATCGGGGTTTGGTCGTCGGCATTCTATTGTCGGCACTTTGTTGGCATATATTTTTTTTTATCTGAAACAATTGCGCAACCCATCAAAATTTTTTTCACGACCCAAACATTGGGTCGCGACCCATAGGTTGCGGAACGCAGATTTAGACATAAAGGTTATTAACAATATTTCCATCAAAATCGACATTATTATCAATATCATTATCGTGCATCATGATCATTGTTGTCATTATCAACACTCAACTACAACTTTACCCACTGTTAATATCAAAGCTTTCAGCATAACTAGCCTCAATATATATCAGGATATTCAAAAACAAAACCAGATGGAAAGATAAAAAAAAAACAATTGACATTAATGATTAGTACATCAAACAAAAAATACACACACACCAAATTTACAGAGATATTTTGAAGTGTGAATTAGACTGTAGAAAAGGGAATCTTCAACATTATCTCTGTACGGCCAACACTTGAGAGCAATCTCCACAATGTCATCTCTGTAGGGTACACCAGACGATGCTTCACAGTCCATGACAAAAAACAATGGCACTGAATCACCATCCATCTCTCCACATGGGTCCTCCTCATTCTCAATGCCATCCACCAGGGCTGCACCTGCTTCCTCATTGTCTTCACTAGGATCGCCAGTAAATGATTTACCATCACTTTTTGGATCTTCTACATTCATCATATAATTCTTGCTCTGTTGATAATGAAAGTAGGAAATATATGTTTTCATCATGATGAAAAATAATGATGGTATGTATGGTATCACACACTATTGAATTCAACCTAAGTTTTTTTTATGAATACTAGGCTTTGCCAAATCAGTGGGTGCTCTCTTTTTATGTTGCCAAGACATTCAATATGTCTACAGGTTCCTTGTGCAAAACAATGACCTGTACTTCATGTACAGCACTGACTCACTTAATTGCCTCATCCTCTCTAGGCATGATTTAATAAATACTAGAATTATTACTGTCATGAAGTACGAATTTTAACTCCGGGCATACCTAAATATGCCCGGAGTTTAATTTTTAAAACTTAAGCGTGCTGCACTGGTACATAAACACAGGTGTTTCGTTCTGCTAGCCTGATGGATGTATTAGGAGAGATAGAGACCTGAGGTAGACCTCTAGCTAGGCAAGGCAAGTATAGTAAATTTAGTAAAATAGTAGGCCCCGCGGGCTCTCTAGCTAGCAGAATAGTGTGGGGCAGCGGGGGGCAGCTAGCCTAGCTAGCAGGGCCGACTGAACCCGCGGATAAAAACCGACATGGGCCTACAGATTTTCTTGCTCTGCGCATTAAATTTGGTACCGCACCAGTGTAAAAATGCATATAAAATAAAAAGAACTGCACAAACCTTCTTTTTTCACTTATAATCATTACATATTTACGATCAACTTCTTCTACAGTCTCAAGTAAAACTCATTCATCGTGTGTGGTTTGTTTACAAAAACAATAAAATTTATCCCCCTCTACAGTCATCTGCTCTGAAAAGATTATTAGTCTGTTTGCAATCGCTGTGTTTTGCAAACTGTTTCCCAACGCCGAATCGCCAGCAGCCCAGCCTAGCCGCACGTCTGCAGCAGCAGGATCAGTCTAGGTCCACTAGGTCCTGGTCCTAGCAAAGATTCTCCCTAGTCAGCACTGTCGTCGAGAGTGCAAAGCGGCCTACAAATTTTGTAAATAAACTGTACAATGGGTAGATCCTCAAAAGATAAACGTGACATTTATTATCGCCTTGCCAAAGAAGAAGGATGGCGAGCACGAAGCGCGTTCAAATTATTGCAGATTAATGAAGATTTCGATATATTTTCAGGTAGGCGCCGCATAGCCTAGGCCCTAGGCTAGGCCTATAGGCTACGCCTAGCTGTAGGCCCTTACTAGGGGGGCCTAGGCCCTAGGCCTAGTAATAGTACTAGGCTAGTACAGTAGGCTAGGTTTTTAGCCTAAAAATTTAGGTATAGCCTAGGCTAGGCCTAGGGCCCTATCTATAAACACTGTCATCACACACTTACAGAGGTTGGACCTCTCTCTCTCTGGGCCAAGCCAGGCAGGGCCTAGGCTGGTCTGCTTCAAATCAAAGTGATGGATGGAGCCATGTTTTTGCCACCAACTCACCAATTCTGAGGTTTAGTGTAGTAATAGTATACGAACAGAAACAGATCAGATGGTATACTCTTGTATTTCAAACATTATGCAAAGAGTAATCATTCATTCATTCATTTCTGATTTATTGAAAAACATATTGACATAGCAGCATTCCCATCACTAAATTTAGACTAAATACTCCTTTTCATCAGGTGTTACCAAGGCCGTGGATTTATGTGCTGCCCCTGGTAGTTGGAGCCAAGTGTTAAGCCGCAAGCTAAGGTAAAGAGTAATACTAATCTGCACACTCATCAATTTATATAAGATCACCATTATCTTATCTTCCTCATTCTCAACAGTCATTATCATCAACGTCATTATGGAGCTTTCGATTGCACAACAACGCTAGATATAGAACGTAATGACATCACTGAAAGTCCTCTGTCCATGCAAGAATGTTAAGTTCTCATTGCGTGGATTCTAGGATGCAATTTGGCCATATGCAGAGAACATAAGATGCCTGGTAGGAAAGTCACACATGAGTGATTGAATTATGTTCTGGCGTTGTGTTGTTGAACAAATCGGAAGCTCCCTATGGTTTATACAGTACTACTACTTCAGTACATCTACATATCCGATTATGATATTTGGAAAAGTTCAATTCTGAATTGTAGTTTTTCTTTTCAGGGCTAAAGAAGAGACACGAGACCAGGTCAAAATTGTTGCTGTTGACCTCCAAGCAATGGCTCCACTTCCAGGCGTTATTCAGCTTCAGGGTGACATCACAAAGGTAAGTTTATTCAGATTCCAGGGCATGCATCAATCGAACTTTACATTAGTATGAAAAGTTTATGCTAATCTTTTGCAATATTTATGTTAATAAAGCATTATGCAAATTTCTTTAATATAATTCTATGGTATGCTTGCGTAAAATGTAATGTAAAGTATACTGTACAGTTTTATGTAAATTGATTATTTGCATACAGGTGTCAACGGCCAATGAAATTGTCAGTCATTTTGAAGGAGAGAAAGCGGACCTTGTGGTCTGTGATGGAGCACCAGATGGTAAGGATGATTAGCTTATAATAAGAAACATGTATTTCGTTTAGACCTGTATTCAGGATTATGATAATGATTATTAATTATTGAAATTAATATAAAATATTGTGTGAAGGTTTGCATGGCGAAGTAATAATATATATTATTGCTCGCAGTATATCACATAGATAGTTTTGAAAATAACTGTTGTTGGTTGAGAATGTCTCGACGTTTTAATTGAGTTGCTTCAATCATCTTCAAATTACATTCATTCTCTAAATTTAATGCAGTATGTAGGAACAGTAATGACCAAAGACAATGAAAATGGTGTTTAACTTTTGTATTTTTTTTCCCCTGAAGTTACCGGTCTTCATGATATAGACGAGTACATACAAGCACAGCTTCTTCTGGCAGTAAGTATAAAACTTGTAATTGGGCACTGCTAGGAAACGAACATGTTTAAGCTTTGCCTTGCTGAACGCCAATAAAAGTGATGATTACTTTCTTTGCTATTACTAAATGACCATATCCTCTCTGTAGTCATCGGACACCAATCCATTTATCACTAGACATCCTCTGACATCTTTCCTGCTCCTGCCATGTATCCTCTCCGTAGACATCCTTTGCTGCTACCATTGTTCCTGTGAAACCTCAGGATTTTCACTGCCATTTCTCTTCACAATGTTATCGACATCTAACAACTTGTGGTAAACGGTACTGGTAATGCAATACTTATATGGAACTGTCTGTTTTTATATTCTCTTTTCTAGGCTTTGAACATCACAACTCATGTATTAAAATCAGGTGGTACATTTGTTGCCAAGGTAAGATTCAAATCATTTTTGGTAAGGCAGGATTAATTTGTCTGTGGCTATAAAACGTATACACTGGCTGCGATCTATCGAAGAGTAAGACCGCCTGCAGTTACAATGCACTGTATGATTGAATCTCGCAATCATTTGATAACTTGATAGTCCTATAAATTATGTTCTCTCCAGATTTTCCGAGGTAAAGATGTGACGTTACTTTACTCGCAGTTGAAGATCTTCTTCCCGACTGTTACTGTATCAAAACCAAGAAGCAGTAGAAACTCAAGTATAGGTAAGAGATCTAACGGATTCCTTCTATGAAGTCTGTTTGTGATGCTTGGGGCTGTTAAAATGGTCAATTTTCTATTTTAAATATTTATTTCAATTTTCGTTGCAGAATCGTTTGTTGTGTGTCAAGGATACTCGCCACCAAAGGGCTATATTGCAAACATGTCAAACCCTCTACTAGATCACCACTATGGTAAGCAACTACTGTACCCAAGGGATTCATCACTAGGATGGCTAACATTTAAATAATTCATACTAGATTCCATCCTGCTCTTTGATGTAGCAGCATCTACATGAATATTTATTACCTCATTTTATTTGTAGATGTTAATTTCAACTCTTTGACGGGAGTGAATCGTGTTATTGTCCCTTTCCTGGCATGTGGGGATTTGAGTGCCTATGATTCAGACAAGAATTATCCTCTAGAGGTATGTGCAAAGAATTCTAAATGATTATGATAATCAGGGGCAGATCCAGAGATGTCCAAAAAGTTGGCCCTTACCTTAGGGATACAGGGGTAATTCCCCTGCAAATTTTTTGTTTGTTTTCTAGACGCAAGATGAAGGAACTTCTGGGGCGTTTTGGGCGATCAATTATTTCTTAACTTTCAAAAGGTGGGGCATGGCCAGCCCAGGGGTCCTCCTCCTCTAAATCTGCCCCTGATAATGATTATAAATGAGATGGTTAGTAGTCAGAAGGCAATAATGATAATCAATGGTATATTAGCAAATTGAAGTCCAAATTGTTTTTATTATGAACAGCTTGAGCTCGGTGCTGGTTACAAACACATAGCTCCGACCCAGCCACCAATCAACCCGCCCTACAAAACAGCATGCATGCTCAAAAAAAATGACCAGCTTGCAAAGCAGAGTGTAGCAAGTTACTCATCCATACAAGAGCAAGTTTCAGGAGCTTGTAAACATTCTCCTTCAAGCTCATCTACAACTAGTGATGTTAAAAATGAAGATGGGGATGTAGAACCAACGAGTTGATATAATAAGGATCTCAAATTCTTAATTATGGAAATATGAGGCTTGACATGCCAAAACCAGCATACAAAAAAAACCAACATTGACTTAGGTTATTTACTGGAATCAACGCATCGCCAAAGTTATGAGTAAAAGTATTACGGCTTCCCAGTACTAAAGTATACTGCCTCATTCTTATGCTAATTACTACAGTATGCTGGGTTTGGGATGGCAAAGTTGTAAATAGTTGGAGGGTGAAAAAAAAGCCAGTAAACCCTTGCTCAAGATTAGGCCAAAAAATAAGTTTGTTTGCCCTCCTCCACCCTTTTAGCTTTTTTCTTTACAAATTAAATGTGAATTTATCTTTATTTTTTGCCAGATGCCCTACAAATTAGTCTAAAGTTGTTGTCTGATGCAAGATATTGCCATTCTAGGCCTTTGTGGGTTATTTTTATTCCATCTGATGAGTATTTAAAACTTTTTCAACCTGCCCCTATTTATCATTTTTAAAAAAAGAAGGGCAAACAAACAATTTATTTTATTTGGCCTTATATAATAAGTTTGTATAAAGAGATTGATGCTGTATTTGTAATTGAAATTATATTGGCATAGATCATACATGCCCAATAAAAATGAAGTCTGCAAATCAATTTATATACAGTAAAATTAAAATGTGACAACATGGTAAAACACTTCTGCCTTTATTAAATATTGGCTGTTGATTTTTCAACAATGCAATGAAGCAGGTACAGTATCTGCAATGTGTACTGATGCATGACTATATATACTTGTCTTACTGCTACATTAATAACAAAAAAATCAATGAAAGATTAGTTAATTTGCAAATAAAGATTGATATTTATTTTCCAAATTCTGGATATTCTTGGTTAAATTCCTCACAATTGGCTTTGTGGAATTTCCCCCAGGCTTTCGCCTGGCACACGCGGCTACAGTATGCTGCTGTGCATCTCTTGCAGCGTCGCAAAGTCTTGTTTACTTTACTCTCGCCACACTCATCACAACATAGTAACGTCTCTGTGCCATAACGTTTGCGATATCGTATCAATACCTGCAGATAAATAAATAAATTAAAACAACAACAAAATTACAGTGCCAGATATTGATGCAACATAGTAACTATAAAATGCATATGTACAGTTAAGTCTAATTACTAAGTTGACCTTATTTTACATGCCAGATTGTTGTGTTCTCTATTAACGTTCTGGAAGTCAAATTTTATCCAAGTTTTTCAATGCCAATTTGGATTTGACTAAGGCAAGTTCAACTGTATATGCATATTATATAATATTCATCAATACAGTAATTTAATTACAATAATAAGTTGACTTATAGAGCGCATATTGTAGAGATCTTTATGCGCTTAACATTACCACCAATCCACTGCCAATGGATCAAGCACATATGTAAAACATACTCGGGTCCCTGGGAAGAATTCCATAATGTTGCAGCTGCAATCAGTACATTTGATACATGTTATATATCAGACTCTTATTGTAAATAATTATTGTGAATAATAAATAATACCTACTTTTCCCATAAAATCTTTAAATTTGTCATTTTTGTCCATCAGTAGACACTTTGATATATCTGCTAAAGATCGATGATAAAACTTCAATTCATACAAAGTTCTTGCTCTCCGGTATAACCCCTTCAGCATTATTACACCAGTTTCTTCGGTTTCTTTATAAAATGAACAATTTAGGGATCGTTAAACTAATTTTAGTCATTGGGTCGATAAATAATAATATAAAAAAACCATATTAATATAAACACATAGTAAATATATTTGTCTGTAATTGTGCTATAAAAGGGCTGTAGCTTATAATATGACGACAAATAAAAATGAAGTATGGGGACATCATTATGAACTACTTCGAATTTCTTGGGGTACTAAAACAATCTTAACATGAACATAGGCAAGGTTTATGGGGTGTACCTTGGTTAGCCGCAGCACAACACATTATGGAAAGGAACATGTTAGGTAATTTATAGAGACAGAAAGACAAATAAGCGGATTGGGGACAAACAAACTCAAGAAATGAAGTGGGGAAGGACATGTTAGCAGAATGTCAGACTACAGATGGACAAAAGCAGTAACAGGAGACCCATGGATGGCAAAGATCAATAAGTATTGGGAAGAGCAAATTGGTACAACTTGTATTTTACAGGTACTTGATGGAAGAGAACTCGCTGTTCAATGCACACACAGGTTACAACCAGTTTCAACCAACTGTGCTATGCTGTGCTCATGTCAAACACACAAAAATGCAATATACACCACAACACCTCAAACAAAATCTTACCTTCATGGCCAGACAGGGCAATCACTGTGTTACAATCATTTAGTGCCTCGTTGTACTTCTTAAGATTCATGTAGCACTGAGCCCGATTGTTAAATAACGTCGCTCGTAAACTATCCCTACAAGTAACATCATGCACAGTAATTATAAATTACAGCAGGAAAGGGGACACATTTGGGACCAAAAAAACTATCCACTTAATACGGTTGTTTCCTGAATAGGGATTGGCTATAATGTTAAAAGGTAAACTTCGTTTTTTTTTTAGGGGTATCCCAAAGAAGGGGTTTTACTTTATTGTTACTACTTGATTGGTATTTAAAACCTATTAGCACTTACCATAAATAAGGATGTTTCCGTTTCTTATCATCAGCATTGATCCTGACATAGGGACACACATGTATTGCATGGTTGTATAGTTCTATAGCCTTTGAAAATTGACCATGTTTAAAGCATTTATTGCCCTCTTCCTTCAACGCAACAGACTGTGAGTGATTCAAGGTCTTAGTGTCCACTAATATTCTATAAGAAATGATCATATTATATTTTGGCTTTATTAAGATGATTGGTAAACTTTCCATCAATAATTTGGTGACTAGACAATTTTTCTTTCCGAAGTTACTATTAAAATTATAGTCCTTATTTTCTGAAAACATGCAAATGAAAACCATTTGAACAGGAAATCTACAAAACAAAATCTGAAAAATTAAATACGGTCAAAAATTTTCTATCTAAATGGATATACACTTTTTTTTAAAGATTAATTTGTAGTTATAAATATATAAGAAAAAAAAACTAAATTCATAATATTGAAAAATGTTGACACAGACATTAAAATCTGTAGACTGCTATAAAATTATATAAATGTTATTTACTTACTCATCAGTTGTTATCTGTAATTTAAAACTGTAATCTTTCAGAAGACTCTTCCATTTTGGTTTCTAGTGTAAAAAAGTAAACATGATATAATGTTTACATCATTACATATTGACATGCTGGATGCACACCGCTATCACCATCAGCACTATTCACAAGAATTAATGTTAACATTATTAACATCAGTATCATCATCACCCCCTTCATCACCACCTATTCATTATTGCCAACTCCACCACTACTTAATGTTCAACACCACATCATTTTTGTTACGGTCATCATCACCACCGTTACCGCCGCTACCTCATCATCCAAAGCAGTATCATTGGGACAAGCCAAACCAGTCATTCATCGCAAAAATATAGTTTGAGTTATTAATAGTGTTGAAGAGTGAAATAAGAGCTATAAAATGGTTTAAAAAATCATTAAAATCCGACATTTCCTTATGAAGTTACAAGCGTTTAAACATACAGCTGTTTAAGAACAATATATGAGAAATCAGCCTTCAAAGTTTATGATTTCGGGCATTTCTCATGCAGAAACTATCATCAAATCCTTAAAAACTGTTGTTTTAACATTGAAAATGGGGAAAATAACAGCATAGCATGATGTATAGATATATAAAGGTTAGTTTAGTGCAATAAAATAGATTTTTAAAACTTTGACATTGCAACATGTTTTGGCCATTTTCTCTGAAACACGATTTGCGACGAGTGACTGGTTTGTCTTGACTTTGCCACATTTACATTCTAAGTAATGGTTAGATAATCAATTCACCCTACAGCTCAAACAACACTGCCACCTACAGTTTTGATGAATGTTTCCCGGTAAACATATATTTCATGCGGTCCAAAGTGTTTCATTAGATGTTTGCTGCCCTCCTTGTTTGTTCTGCTCATTCGTAGAAGATTTGTCAAAGACATATTACGTACTTTCTCATCAATTGAAAATGCGTAAGTACTCATAGCAAACACTAGATTCTAAATGGTGTAAAAAAAAAAACAGTGTTTACATAGGGATTTGTGAAAAGATACTAAAAGTATGTTAGCAATATTTGAAAGTTAATATCTTATTCAAATAAATATACAAATAAGTTATATTTTAAAGTTATTTTTTATTAGTGGTAACTTATCTTTAAACTTTCAATGTTCAATATTTAAAAATTAGTGTAATAATTTTATACAATACTGAGATGTCTAATAAAAATGAAACCAAAATTAAATCTTACTTCTTTCTCAACTACTTTATCCTTCAATGATGGTTCATTCAACAAACATGCAATGATTTCCAAATAACTATGAATAATGACAGGACCATTGGGATAGAAAACTATGACAAAAAAAAAACAAAACCATTCTGTGAATTTGTTATACTATTCATGGCCGGTGGAACAGGTGGAGGGGGGGGGGGCGGAACCTCACTTTTTGGCAGAAGATATATAATGTCTATGCAGATTTTTGTATGATCGGCTCCCTCGAAATTCATACTCCCATTCATCTTACTAGTGGTGCCCCCCCCCACCCAGTCTATGAAAAATGTTCCGCCGGCCCTGTTATTGTTAACAGTATCATCATAAAAACAAATAATATAGTGAGTGCATATTTTAATTTAATTTCATACATATTTCAATCAACAAGAACAGTAACGTAAACCTTTTTCACACTACTAATCTCCAAAAAACCTTTATATGAGTATTGATTTATTATGACTTTCCATAGGCATGGCATATCACATATATCGGCAAAGTGAGGCAAAGAAAATATGTACTGTATCTTACCTACAGCCTCCAAAACTTTTAACAAGTGATACTTTGTAACTAATGTCTGTGCTATATCACGACACTGAACAAGATAAAAGACAAGTTTGACCATGAACTCGATGGTCACCTGGTCACGCTGGTGGAGTTGTGGGCACTTAAACCAATCCATAATGGCCTGTAGAATCATGCAAGATAAAAACTTTGTTATCGCAATACTGTACTGTTTAATAAAGAGCTACGGACTCCTTAAATCTTTTGATCATTCTGGTGGCATAGTCACAACCTGCGCACTTAACTATAATTACCGCTTGGTCTCTGGTTCAGCCACATGATTGATCTACTTGCTGACATGTTGCTAAAATGTAAAATCTTTTGATAGTTACACATTAAAATAGGTGTAATTTTTTTTTTTTTTAGAAAGGAATATAGGTGTTTGTTTCTCTTAGTGACAGACCAATCAGAGTTATAAGGGGGTGTACTTCTGAAGAAAATCAATCGTCCGCAATTTCAAATTGCAGCTATGGAAAAAAACGATCAATGGATAAGGTAAAAATGATCATCTGTCAGTGTGCCACATATCTATGACCCATGATGAGATGGCATGAAATGACACATAAATGGACTACTACTGTACAGTATACTTACTTTTATGCATAATTTATCTTCCATTACAATTTTCTTGGCACTAACATCATCACATATTGTCTAATAAAAAGAAAACATTTAAATTTTTGACAACTACATTAACAAAATGATCATATTATTAATTTACTATTATATATTTAATATTAACAGCATGGATGTTGATACTTGATTTATTTTGTAATGTTAATTCCATAAATATTTCAATCAGTTTATTAATAAAGCTGTTAAGATGAAAGCTACAAGAAGACAACTTTTATTTACAACATTAATTTTGCTTTTTGTTATTGTATTTGTTACTTAATATTTTGGTATTTACAGTACTTTAATATATTTTATTACTTTATATTTTATTATATACAGTAATCAAATAGAATGTACAGTACAACTAATAAAAACCATTTTTGTACAATTATAATATTTTTACTTATTTATTTTATCCTTATTGTTTATTTTCGACATGTTATTTGAAAATTATTTAAATGACATAAGAAATGCAACATAGAAATAACATTACCATTTCTAAAATACTTGCAGAGTATAGTCGCAAATAATGAGCCCATAGGTAAATAATTTCCTTTGCTGACATCTCATCAAAGTGCTCTTCGACATCTTCCCCGGATGTGGCACTTGCAGAACGTGGCACTATATACCATGGTGAAGTCTTTAAAGCGTAGTCCTCAAATTTGTAGAGATTGTCACGTTTAAGGATCCTACTCAATACTTTCAATGCATTATCTCTGTAGAGGAGATAACCAAGAGTATGGATTCCATTCGCGGTTGTGAGCAGCTTGCCGAAAATCCGTGGCTCAATATCAAACATGTCGTATAGGGCACCAAGGGCACACATACCAGGAATGACAAAAGCAGTGTCTGCCTTGGGATTTATACAATCTGTTAAATGAAAACAAAATAATTTTGTATTAATTTTAAATTTGTAAACAATTAACTCGTCATACAATCCAGGTTAATACCTCAACAATGAACACAATTTAAAGTAATTTCAGTATGCACTTATGGTAGTTAATGAAAAAATGTGAACTTGGTCCAGATTAATCTGACAGCTGACTGTGTTTTTGCCAGCATTTTCTATGATTTAAAAAATGTTATTATAATTAAATACTGTAATAATAATCAGTTTTATATAGCGCTAATTACAATTACAGCAGGTAGATTTTATTCAATCTTCATTTTACATTACTATTACAGGAAAGAGTGATGCACAAAGGCTTAAGGAATGGAGTAGTTTTTAGATGTGGAAAAATCCTACCACAGGATTTGAACACAGAAACTTGGGAATGAAAGGCATCTTAACCACTAAGCTACACCTCCAAAATGCGTGCCTATAGTCCTCGCTGTCTCATTATAACTTGGTGACTGTGTTTCTGCTTGTGCTCGTGGTTGTAGTCTTTCCTGTGTGCCCCTCCATTAATTGGTGACATACGGTACAGTATAGTCCAACATTTTCCCACCCTACATTATTTGGTCAAATACCCTTCTCCAATTCTAAATAAACAACTGACACCCTAAATTTTACAGTACTATTTCTTACTTTCAACACATTTTAACAGTGTTTGAATACCACCATTATACTCCATGAGTTTAACAAGAGGGCGTCTCGATCTTGGTTCTTCACGGCCTTTGCACTGGAATGCATTTAACAAGTAGCAGAACATCCTGATGGAGTGGTAGTGGACGCTGAGCCAATGGTCAGCACCTTTGCAGGTAACAGATGTAAAGCTTTCCATGGCCGCACGTGATGGCCTAACTTTCAGAAGCTGTAGAACGCCTGGCAAAAGGTCAAGCTTCAACAGGATCTCAAGAACTACTGGGCTACAGTAGTTCAACTATTGAAAAGGAAGATACAACTCAGAATCAGGGAGAGGCAAAACATTGAATCTGACATAAATGGAGTAAGTTTTGTTCCTAAATTACCAATAATAATATTATAACAACAATAATGTTCATAACAATGATGCCTTGGTCTATTTTTCTACAACAAAATGCACAGAAAGCAGACATACTAACATAGGCCTAGCTCTACTTATAGGTTTTTTTCTAACAATTTTGAACAAGGTATTCCTCACAGTATAGGACCGTTTTAGTTTAGCCATGATGTACAGTATGAAATGCATTTTGTATTGTTTGTATGTTTTTAGTCAATTTGTTTTTGATTCATTGAAGGACTATTAAATAAATCCTAATAATTATGATAATCATAATGTACTACTGTACATACAGGACATAAAAAGACTGGAAATGACAAACATGTTTGATTTAATTCGAAAAGGGAAGGCTAGGGCAGATATAAATACAAAAATACAATAAAGTTACTAGGCCTAGGCCGGCCTATAATATGTATATCTGTACTGATCAAAAGATTCCTAACCCCAAAATGTGTATCCATTAAATACTCCGATAATTTAGGTATAAAGTAGTGTTGGAGTTGCATTCTATTATCATCTTCACTTAATTCTTCAGTAAGCACATCTTCTTCGATGTCCTTGCATATCAGAAAGTTAAGCAAGGCGCTGATTTCCGACCAGAAAGGGCTGTCGTCACGCTGCAAGCGGCTAACTTTCTTCTCGGCCGATTCACTCTTCGATGATCTGAAATCAAAGGCCGCCGGGGTGAAATCTTTATCTACGTTAGTCAAATATCTTTGAAGCCTTCGAGACAGTTCTTCGGCCTGCTCAATACTATGTATGGTTATTTGGAAATTGTGTGCCATAATTATGAGGCAATTAATACGTTCATCTAAAAATTCGAAGAATTTCAGTAAGAACCACTTTGAAAGAACTGAAAAACAACAGCCAGCGAAGCGAACGCGTGATGACTGTTTCCACGGTACCGTGTGAATATACTGTAAATTCTTATTCGCACGGTAGACCTAGCCAATCAGCACGGTCCGACGAATTACCCAAATGATAGGGAATTACCCAAATGATACCCAAATGATACCCAAATGATAGGGAATTACCCAAATGATACCCAAATGATACCCAAATGATAGGGAATTACCCAAATGATACGCAATTACCCAAATG